AAAAAAAAAAACCGTTCCAAAATTGGCAAATACATAAGCCATGGTCACCAACACTACTGTCATCGTCGTCATCAGTATCATTATTATCATCATCGCCATCCTCATCATCAAACAGTTTAATATATACAGTGATTCTACAGTAACTGACTAAACAGAAACTTATTCAATAACTGCTATATAAAACTGATTTATCTGCTCAACAAACAGTAATAGCAACAATAGTCATATGTTAACAGTTATCAACTGATATCCTCTGCTTTACTAGCTGGTTGATGCTTTCTTTTTAATCAGATAAAAAACCAACAACAAAATCATCATATGTTTATTATTTATCACTTCATTTTTATGCTATTCTTTGGATACATTATTTTAGCGCATGGAAAAAAAAAAAAGTTGGAGGAGCAATAAAAAAAACTGTAACGTTTAGAAGTACAACCTGACAGTCCTTTTTGTTCACTTTTCTACAATTAAACAAACACTCATTCAACAAACGCACACAAACACACACACCCAAACGCTGTGTCTTTCTATGTGTTTCTTTGTCTGTGTTTGTGTGTGCATTGATAGACACAGTTTTGCGCGCGTTCCCATTGGCAGCAGCTGTAACATCAGCAGCATCAGCATCAGCAGTAGCAGCAACAGTACCAGCAACAACAACAACAGCTGCAGTCGTTGGTGTACGGATGATGACGAAAAAGCTGTTGAAATGTTTCAAATGGCCTTATGGTCATTCAGGTTAGTAGGTCTTGTTGGTTTCTGATCCCTGTGCGATGATGATGGTTCATCCTATTTTCCATTGTTGTTTGTATTACATGGTTTATATATCTGTGTATGTGTCTGCGTGCTGTCGTTTATGAATGCCGTTTTGGTTGCTACAAATTACTGTTGCCGATTCTGTCTGTTTCGTCAGCTGAGCAGACACGAAGATGAAGGCAAAGAATAAGTGGCAGTTTAGTTTTGTCTTTTTTTTTTTTATATTGACTTTAGTTGTCTTACTTTTCAGCATAATTTCTTTCCTTATTTATTTCTTTTCTAATCACTGTAGAGGTGGAGGATTAGACAAATTAATAGGATGGGTGTCCTGTGTCCACTGATAAAACAACTTCGTTCTCCGTTTGTGTGTCTCACTTTTATTAACCAGGTTCACTGCTATTCTCATCGACCAAATTGTTTCGTTTGTCTATGGCAGCAGAATGTAATGCACATTTTGGCCGTCGTAGTTGCTTTTGTGTGGTATCTTCGCCGATTTCTTTCCGGCATCGTTAGAAAATTGACATGTCACGCATATACATTCTGCTAAATTTTGCAATTGATAATCCTAAGTTGATGAAATTAGTCAAACATTTCCACATTTCTTTCTTTATTTACTTTTTTTTCGGTTTTTTCTTTCATCATTTTTATCCTGACACTTCTCTTTGGGTGACACTTCTGTGCTTTCAATCTGTTTTATCATACAGACGACGAACACTATTATAACACACAGTACGAACATTATGGTTTTCTGTACCGCATTGATGGAGGAGTTGGAGTTTTATGTATGTTGGTTGGTTGAATTAGAAAGTTTGCTGGAAATATTCTTAGAGGAGCAAGTATCATGCCGTTTGGTCTACTAGTTTAGATTTTTTTTTGTGTGCCAGTTCGGCATTGGTGTTGCTGACGTTCTTCTCTTATTTATACTTTCGTTTTGAATGCTGTCGTCAGTGTCAAAGTATATTTGTTTATTTTTCGACCGGGTTTTTTTTTACTTTTTTCAATTTTATTCATTTGTTTGCGTATGAGTATTTTTATATACTATTCGGTAAACGGGATCGAATTGATGTTGCGAAGTTTAAGCGGTGATTATATTGTTTGTTTGGCTCTTTTTTTTGATTATTCATAACTTTTCAAGGTTAAAATGCAGTTGAAACTTGCATGAGATGACCTGTGAAGGAGTTTTCAGACTTATTGGCATGTAAAACGAAGGTTGGTTTGTGTTTTTACCCGAAAATGCTTCGTGTTTTCTATTCATTCATGTTGTATCATTGCTGTCATGTTTTGCCTCTTCATTGTCTTCCATCTTCAAATTCCAAGGTATATTTTGTTTTTCTTATTCTTCAGTTATACTTGATTTTTTTTTTTTAAAGGCAGATTACGTCGAGTCTCACTGCAGAATTTCGGTCGTCGAATGAAATGACTGGTGTGTTAGTAATCCAGCAGGTGTTGGTGTGAAATTTTGCTCGAAAAAAATAAAAGGAATTCCATCATGGTGGCTTTAACGGAACAGCAGTATAGTGTTATAAGCCAAGTTATACAACATACCTACGGTTTGTGTAAACGCTTTTTACCTGAGCTTGCATCTTCGTTCGTGGTATCAATGTTGAAGTATTTTACAGTGGCAGTTTTTCAGCAGTAAAGTATAAATAATTTTATGAAATTAGAATTGATGACATAGGATCAAAGTGTGAAGCTCTGAAATTTTATTTTATCATTTATGGAGGGTGATTGCTAGATGTTTTCTGGCAAGTATTTCCGAGAGGTTAAGATAGAGCAGATTACTTCGCTACTGTAAGTTAAAAAGTTGGCAAGTGGAAGCCTTTAGTCTATCAGTAGTTATTAAGCCGAAAAAGAAAACTGGTTTGGGCAAGTTTTGCTGCGTTGGCCACCAGTTCGAACTAGGATTCCCAATCAAAACTTGATTATTACTGCGATCATTATTACTGTCACTTTCTGTATTTTTCCTACTGGAATAAGTAAGTGAACTTTGATAGTTTTTAGAACAACAACGTATTCGCCAATGCGACGTAGAAAAGCTTGAAGCTTTCCGTGCCTATTTGGAACGACTTTGCCAAGTTCGGTTGAATTGTTGTTTGGAAATTTTTGGATCTACGAAGAATGGTTTTGGAACAAAAAATTCTGATGTTGATTTATGCCTTCATCTTGATCCTCTATCGCTTGTTACACAACATGTTGGTTATTTTCTAAGTTCTAACAGTTAGCTTTCGCTCAGTGGTGCTAGCATTTTTTTTCCATTTGACAGTTTGTGCAATGCATCGTGATTTTCACATTATTCCTTTAGAATTTTGTCTTTTTAGTTCGTTCATCGTCAAAGTCGTAGTATTTCAACGTCAAACATCCCATACAGTGCGGCGATATTACTTGGTTTAGCGTACGAGCTGTACAAGACTCGGGGTTTTAAGAAATTGACTGCTATATTAACAGCACGAGTTCCAGTTTTGAAAATAACTTGCGGCTCAAATTTTGGCGGGCTTCAAGCCGAGTATAATTTTTTATCCGGTTTATCGGTCGTAGAAGCTTATCTTTTTGTGATACAGTCTTTTTGAAGAGGGGTTTGAAATTTGCCACTTGCGTCGCAAATTCGTCATAAGTTGCTTA